TGAGGAGCAAGGCTTATGACAGGAGCAAGGTAACCCTGGTCCATCTACACCAGAGCCAGACAGACCATAATCCTTAGGGACCGCCTGATGCTGGCCCACCAAGTACTTGGTATGGGCTCTCTGGAATAGAGATCCCAGAGTAGGGAGAGTCAAATAAAACCCATAGAGGTCACATAATCTCTCACCCAACATGAAGGTGGACCCCGAAGGCACCCACATCCTACGTCAATCTATGGAAACAAAAATGTCCATTTGTGCATAAAGTATAAATAAGTGCCAGTGGTAGACATGGCCGGCCTTCCGGTCAAGATAAAACATTGCTCCAGGCTAGACACAAGGCCTGCCCAAGAAGGGTAGTGCAGAAAATGCTTTTGGTGCCAGCCCCATACCTAAACCCATAGTGATTTTCTGGTACCTCTGGGAGCCTCCAAGCTCCCAGCCCATGGCCAGACCAGGTAGATCACTCCCATCAGGAAGAACTGGGACCCTCCAGATCCTGGACCTTGGGAACTAATCCTGACCCCAACTCTTACGGGAGTGGACACTAACTCATTGCTATTAACCCTGACCAGAACCCTATGGGACCCCCATCATCTCAGGCAGAGTACTCTACAGCCATAGCATCATATTTCTCCTCCTGAATACAGATAAGGACAGAGTACATACAGGGCTGAATTACCATAGGGGGCTCACTGGAGCACCAGCTCCAGGCCCACCACTGAAAATAGGCCCAGTCTGCATGGACTGCCTTGGTACGCCCGATGGCAATCCAGGCCAGCAGGGCTGAACACAATCAGGCAGAGGCGCCGGTGGCCCTCTAATTGGGCATATTATGCGACTGCTAACTGGGGTCTCCTGGGGACCCAGCGAGGAGCAATCAGCCGCCTAATTAGAGAATCACCGTTGTTGCATCCCATCCGACCGACTGAGAGCGCCAGGCCCATGATGCTCTTGATCTGGCCCCGACTACACAGCTGCAGCAAGGGCAATATACTTCAATGCCCCACCGCAGCGGATTTGGTTGGGAAGGAGATATGTCCCTGACAGTTTTTCGAGGGCTTGGGTGAATTCAGTTCACACCAAGCTCACGCACATTCCTACTCATGAGCAGGGGCGTCCCGAGGCTGGGTGTCACCCGGAGCGGAGACCAGTTGACACCCCTCTGTGATGTCATCGTGCATGCGCGTGATGTTGCCGTGCGCAATGGCGTCATAGTGCATTCGCGCAGCCGTCTTATTGACGCCTACCGGCGGCCATCCTGGTGATGGGCGCCAGCAGAGAGAGGAGGGGACGTTCACCCGGCGTGATGAGGTATGTCGCCGTGTCCCCTCCTCTCTCCTGACACTGTCGGGGTCTCGGTCCGTGACCGAGTGTCCGACTTTTCATAGGGGGGTGACACCAAAATGACTGTCAGTCATTCTGGTGTCACCCCTCCAATGGTGGCACCCGGGTGACCCCCCCCCTTGTGATGCCATTGCTCATGAGAGAAGAATAAGCCAATGAAACACATTGTCCAGAGCCTGCAGGGGGGACCAGAATTTGTGTTTTTGTAGATTCGCACATCTCTATCATATGTTCTTGATGGGGCCTCTTTGGTTGAGCAATATTAGGCCACCCGCATCTTGGTCCCCAGGCATCATAATCCGCCGCCAAGGAAGCATGCAGCAGCCACCGTCACCTCCGCCCCCCCCTCTTCCCGGCCCACTACTTGTTTTAAAGGCCTGAACGCCTGTGAATTAATTGAGGCTTTCACCCGCTGCAATCAGCGCACCCAGCAGCCACGCTTTTCTCTTTCTGTCTGC